GTGGCTCTGAAGCCTCTACCTCTGGGCCGGGAGTGGTAGGAGGGATGCTGGCCCAGAAGCCCCTTCCTCTGGGCCAGGAGCAGTGGGACAGAAGGTGGCCCAAAAGCCCTTTCCTCTGGGCTGGGAGCAGCGGGAGGAATGGTGACTGGGAAGCCCCTTTCTCTGGACTCAGTACCTTGGTCTGGTGGTCTGGTGTCCTCTGCGTCTTTTTAGTGTGGAACCAGGTGGCTGCCTGTCTGCAGTGGGGTGATTCGGTGTCTTTTTTAGGGTTGATCCATCATGCAGTTTTAAAACCAATGTATAAATATTTTTATAACATATCAAAATAATTTGCTTAAAACTTCAATTGTAAATTATTATGTTTAATAAGACTATGACTTTCTAGCTCCTTAGGTAATTTTCTAATTATACCAGCACACAACAGCTTAAACCTAAAGCATAAATTGAACATATGTGAATTATGTCCTATTTTCCATCACAGCAATTAAGTAAAATTTGAAAGCTGCTTTTGAGGAATTTTGTTATTTATTTGACAGTTCTTTTTTTCCTTTTCTCTCTTCCTTTTCAGCTTAAGGAAAAGGAGTAGGATTGAGAAAACTAATATTTCCATATAACATATAAATTATGACTTATCATTTTGAAAATATGAACTCATTAATTTTCTAAGGAGAAATTACTTTTATTTTTATAGTATGTGTTGTACTTTCTTGAAAACAGTGACTTAAATTGCAATCTTCATCTGTGTTATGCTACAGAAATCTGGCATTAACTTAAGAAAATGCTTAGTAATCAAAAGAGTTGCAATAGACATTTGTTTTTCAAATGCTAATAAAAATGTACAGCACCCTTATGTTTATTTACTATTCTTGCTATTCTTCTCTGCCACAGGCAATTGAATTTGCTAGGATTAGAATATCAAAATACACACAAGTACACTCACCAAGCACGTGCATGAAGTTTTCCCTACCCCATCACAAAGAAGCACTGCACAAGAGTGAGTTTTGGGACTGGTATTTAGCTCAGTAGTTCCACTGCCTGCCTCACAAGCACAAGGTCCAGAGTTTGATCCCCAGTACCAAAAAAGAAAAAAGTGAGTCTTTCTCTGATTGACTGGGCAAAAGCCTGCCTTTTCTCGCTCCTTAGGTTAATTACTGCACAGCTAATAGATTAGAGTAACTTCTGACCTACACACCTCTAGAGAAAAGCTTTTTAATTTTAACTTCTTAAGTAAGTTGTCTATTTTTCTTTCTACTACATAGCCTAGCAGGGAACACCACATATATTTTTGTGAAAAAGGATTAGAGGTTCTATAAGATGTCACATTTTTTAAGGCTAGCTCCTTAGTTTTGTGAGTAGTTTTTTTCTGGTATTTAATTATGCCTGGTGGTAGCATGATTATGTTAACTTACCATCCTTGCTAATCTCTGCTGCAGGCACTTGAATTTGCTGGGATTAGAACACTAAATAAACACAGATTAAAGATGAGCAATTTCTTTAGCTTTGAGCATCTCCACCTGATCAAAACATATTTTAGGTGACACACAGAAAGTCAAGTGAAAGGTAGAAGGAAGCAAAGAATAAAGGAAAAAGAGGAAAAGAAAGTTAATGGAATGCCATTTCCAATTATATTAACTTTTCTTATTGAATTTATATCTATATCTGGTCAAATTATTTATAAAATATCATAATTTAAGAAGAAATTTTCTAGACAGTCTTCCCAAAATGCTCCTTTGTTCCCCTGAAAACACACAAAAATTTTTAAGAGAAGAAATTTGCACATTTTCTACTTTTGCTTTTGTGCCAATGTGTCAAGATTTGTTCAAAATTCTGAGTTTGTATATCTTGTAATTTGTAACTGGAGGAAGATGTTAACCCTTCTTTTGAAATGATAAACTAAGTAGTTTGTACTAAGTGGGATCTGTATCACAAGGACAATAAACCTAGGACCTGCTGTTCTAGGAGTTTTGTTATTTTTCATTTTAAAGAATGATTCCTACAGTATTTATGGAGATAATTTATATACATTCTTTAGCTTCAGGATCTTGAGCCTTCCTAATTTAGGAGATATTTACTCAATATTATAACAATACTTTCATCATATGCTTGTTCTGGGACTGGCCCGTAATGGAGACCAAGCAGGGGCCCTTGTGAATGACTTCCAATGCCTTGAGACTTTTTCCTTCGCCCCTCCCCCACGTAGTAGTAAAGTTGTGCTCTGCTTTCACAAGTTATAATCTTGCTTTTATTTATATTTGCTCATATTTCTGAAAATTTTCCCATTATGTTATATTAAAAATATTCAATGATTTAAACTAGCATATTGTATCTGAATTCAGTCCTTACTTCCATTAAAGGAATAGACGTGTAGATGAGGACTATCAAAAGGACAGATTCTGGAGTAGTGGCTTGACTGACTTCTTTACCTGTTCATTATGATTCTCTAGAGAGAAAGTACTTATTATGGAAATATAGCATTAGTTATGAAAAGAAGAGTAAAGAATTAAAACAAGAAATGGGACTCCTTGTTGTTTGTTTGTTTTTCTATCCCAACTTGCTTCTTCTTACCTCAAAAGTCCCCAACTTCTCATAACATCATGTTGTACACCTTAAATATACACAATAAAATTTATTTGAAAAAAAAATCCTATCACTGCTCCTCTTCCAAAAAAAAAAATAAAGATAAAACAAGAACACTTTGTGCAGGCATCTTGATGAATAAGAGTAGGGAGGTTTATGGTCCTCTTTTCCCAGATGAAGGCAAGGAGATGAGTTTTAAATCTGTTCTGGCAAACTATTTTTTTTTTAGAGAACCCAACAACTATACTTTATTTTAAAAAGTATAAAAGTGACATTTTAGAAATTTTTTTGAAGACAAGTATATCTAACAGCAAAGAAATATGAATGGGACAATGACTGGCACAAATACAACACTAAAGGAGTACTCAGTCACCGCCAGAAATCATTGCCTGAGTTACAAAATAGATTCCATTTGAGAAGTCACACATTCAGTTTGTTTCTGAACTAGCCTGTCTTGTTTATGTCTTATTGTAAGAGCAGGTCTTTACTGCTACTGAGACAAAATGTTGTATGTGAATGAACTAGAGGACAAGGAGGGGTCTCTTCCCCTGATACCTGAATGACAGAACAGTTAGTACAGAAATGGCTTTGGCACTTTAACCTTTAAATAGTGTTCCATACCTTATCACTTGATTTCATAGCTTCATATGACATTTTAATACCATATCATTGTCATACTTCTTATATACATTATATATACACTGTAATAAATTCCTTCATTCTCAAACAATACAGCTTGTCCCTCAACAGGTCTACAGTCATCTCTGTATTAGCAATTCGCTTTCTTCTAGGTTCTTAGGCCATACCGTTAACTTGTTGTTGTTATTTAAGCTACCTTCCAGGACTGATTTAAGGCTCTAGTTTAATCCAAGCTGTTTAGTCATTGTAGGAATCTTTTGAGGCTCAGATCACACACCAATGATTCTCTCTTTTGAAGCTCTTTTTCCTTGTTGCATGGATGTAGTGTCTTGTCTGGATAATCCATAGAGATATATGGAAACACACACGAGAGCAAAGGTGAGTGTTATCTGTAATCCAGACAGTACCACTGAAGCAATGGTAGAAAGGACAATGGCTGCTGCTGCAGAAAAACCTTTCATGATGTTGTCTGTGTACTTGACCACAATGGAAGTATACAGGCCTCCCACACTTGCAAGAAAGATGACAAACCAGACATAGTGTGTGTAACCATAGAAAAATCCTTTTTCTTTAATTTCAGCTCCATCTGACAAGCAGGCACCAACCAATGTTACAGTGATTCCCGACAGACACATTTGAATGTTTCTCACCCAAAAGGCAGTCTCTAAACTTTTTAAGACTCTTTCAAAATATACTGCTGCAAATCCTGAGCACAAAACAGCAATAGCTATAGTATCAAAACCCAATAGTGGATTCTGTTCCACCACAGCTTTTGTAGCTTGAGCTGGTTTCTGCTGTACAAGTGTGACTCCAGCACACAGCATAAAAACTGAAATTCATTGTAATTTGCTGTGTCTAGTTTAACATTAAAATAGTACATAAAGCAGTACAGGGAATCTTCAATTGGTAGGTCACCTCTTGGAGTAGCCATGGCGTTCGCACAGCCCTACATGGAACTTGGCAAGCTATTTTTGAAGATTAAATTTTATTTTGTACCCACTTCTTATTTGAGAAACTGCTTCATAATTGGACGCAAAAAGGTTAGAAGACCAAAAATACATTATGAGTGCTCAGGAGACATGAATATACCTTTATATAGATCTGAATATTCTTTAATTCTTTAAGCATGAGTTTACATGTTCTTGTATAACTCAATTTATAGTGTGAATTTTTATTTTTTATGACAGTGGTTTAGAAAAATATTCTTACATGTTGTTTCTCTATCCTTATAACTGGTTCTGGTATCTGCCTAAATCCCATGTTATAAATATGGTATTTAAGCATTTCTTATCACTGAGTATTGACATTACCTTTTATATTTTCTTATTGAAGTTAACTTTTATATTATCTAATTTCATAGATTTGTAATCATAGTGGTGACCACTACATATGGAAGTGTCTACATATAACCATATAATTTTTATTACAAAATAATTTCTGGGTTCCTCAGACAAGGGATTCCTGGTACAAAGGATTTAACAATCATGTGTCCCAGTGATAAAATTCTATTACAACAAGTATAAGAGGTTAATCTAAATAGGATTTTAAGTGAACTCAGCTCTGAAGCTTTTAAATTTATTTTGAAAGAAACAACAATTGAAAGAAATGCAATTGACTTGTCAGAGCTTTAAGAAGGCATTAAAACTGGACTGTTTCTCGATCTCGCCTTGCAGGTACTGAAGACAAGTGAGGTGGCTCGACTTGGAGAGCAGACTTCAGGGTCCAGGAACATTAGGACTCAGCTGGAGCGCTTTAAGGAACAATTATCCACACCATGGACAAGGATATTGGGAGGCAACTTTAACAGGTATAAATTGAGTGTAGATCTGAGGAACACAGGTTGAGTATCCCTTATCTGAAAGGCATGGGGCCAGAAATCTCTCAGATTTCAGACTTTTTGTTAAGTTTTGGAATATTTGTACATGTGTCAATAGGTATCTTGGGGATGGTCACCAACAAAGATGAAATTCATTTATGATTCATAAGTGCTTGGTACAAATAGCCTGGGGCTGATTTCATATAATATTTTAAAATAATTTCGTGCATGAAACAAAATTTCATGGCATGGTTTCAAGTGGATACAAAATACTTTCAGATTTTGGAGCATTTTTAATGACATTGTGAATGCAAACATCTAGGTTTGTCCCATTTCTGCTCCCTGAAGCTTTTCCAAGAGATTTAAAGAGATACTGCCAGGCATGGTGGCTTATACTCATGATCTCAACACTTAACAGGCTGAGGCAGAAAAGGCACAAGTTTGAGCCTAGCCTGGGCAATTTGGCAACTTGGCAATCTAGTAAGACCCTGTCTTAGAATTTAAAGTAAAGATGGAGGGGGCAGTTGCTCAGTGGGAAAGCCTTGGGTTCAGCCCCCAGTGCAGGGTGGCGGGGAGTCAATTTTCTTTTTTAAAAAAATTACTTGTATTGGTACACTTTGGATATACATAATGATCACATTCATCAGAGGGAATTTGTACTTGTACATAATATATCTTCATTCCTTTTTTTCCCCATTTCCCTTCCCTACCTTCAACCTTTCTTCCCCTCCTTATTTACAAAAGCTTTGTTTGCATTTTTTCCCTTCCATCTCCTTCCTTTTACCTTTCTTCCCTTCCCTTTCCTGGCTTCCTTGTTACCCTTCCATTTGAATATTTTTTTTCCTACTTCCCAGTATATGTTATTCATTTGGGTCCTTATTAATGCTTTTGGTTTCTCACATAAGAGAAACAATGTGATACTTAAGCATGTGTGTCTTATTTATTTCACTTAAAAGTATGGTCTCGAGGTGGATCCTTTTACCTAAAAATGTCTCAAGTTTAATTTTCAAAAATAGTAGTGTCCATCTGGGGGGAGGGATCTTATAAATAGGCATATTTTGCCTTAAAAAGCCATGTTTTTCTTATATGATTATGTATAATTTAAATTTGAATGTTTTCTTCTTCTTCTTTTTTTTTTTTGTTTGTACTGGGGATCAAACTCAGGACCTTGCGCTTGCAAAGGAGGTGGTGGAACCACTGAGCTAAATCCCCAGGCCTTAAATTTGAATGTTAATTTCATTAAGCTTAGAATATTTCCCTGAGATCTAGGGAAAGCTAATCCTTTATTACATTTTCTTCTCCAACTCCCTGACATATTCTCAGTGGTGTTGGTAGTTAATATCTGAAAGAAATTACTTTCCTCTTAATATTGCTTTAGATGAAGATGACTCAGGTCCTAAATAAGGATGTTTATAAGAATTTAAACTATGGAATCTTTAGCTTCTTTACCTTGTTCTAAACATGAAAGAAAAAATCCATTATCTTTAAAACATGAGACTAAAAAAGGGTTCTTAAAATTCATTTTATTTTCATTACAGTGTTCTCTGTAGAGTATTCTTCAGCAATGGAATGAATGGATAATTTGCTATGGTAAGGACAACATTCCTGAGAAGAGTGATATGATTCTCTTGTACCTTCACACAGCTGTATATTACTACAATCTAATTAAAAAAAAAGACTTTAGTCTCCATTTAAAACTACAACATTTACTTCTTAAAAATTTAAATATGTCTTCCAGTGGTTAATTTTTACAAACTAAGTGTTGAATAATAGATACTTCAATTTCTTGTCTTTGATCCAAACCATTTTACTGTTCCACAAAATTTTCTGTAACACTTCACTTTGTGTCAATTAGAATGACAACAAAATCTCAGTTACCAAATACTCCTAAAAAGCCAAAATTCATTTCTGGCTTTTATTAAATGATGCTAGAACTAATTCTTTTAGTAGAAGATATAAAGTAGTAAAATATTCTTATTAACTTTAAATATAAGAGTACATTATTGTAAGAGCTTGATTGAATAATGTTCCAAAGGGGACTTGAAGCTGTCATTTGGTAGTAGTTTTTGGTTGATTCAATAGTTTCAAGCAAACTTTTGACTTATTTTTAACTCTGGCAAAAGTGACTTTTCTCTTACTGTCTTCTATAATGTGTGTGTGTGTGTGTGTGTGTGTGTGTGTGTGTGTGAGAGAGAGAGAGGAATAAACAATTATGAAAACAAAATCTTACAATTCTTTTTAAGATTTGGCAGATCACTATAAAATGATCTTTCAATAACCAACAAACAATAATGAGAAGTTCAACCTGAAATTTATTTTCACTCATTAAACTTTTTCTAGGCATTGTTTGGTATCTCTGCACATCTGGGAAGGCAAAAGGAAAAACAGTCACATTCACCTCACTGCAAGTTCAGTAATAATTTAGAAAGTTGAGATAATATTAACTATGATATTATCTGTATTATACACAAGAGAAAACACCTTTATTGATTTAAACAATAGTAGCTATTCTACCTTCTAAAATTGAGTTAAACTCACTGAACGTAAAGTTCAGAACTTGGTAATGCTTTCAACCTTGAGTACAGTAATGTAGCATAACAGTATATTCTTTTCTTTTCAGCTTCAGATGGTGCAACTTCCAAAACATTCCTGAAATTTGAAACAAGAAGAATAATATTTCAGTGTAACAGAGTTGTTATACCTTTTTATTCACCAAAGTGGTCTCATTGTACTGCACTTCTTTTGCATTCATATTGTGCAACAAATATTTGAAAAACCAGTGTATAAGAAGAAAAGGTGTTTTTCATAGCCAAAACTCTTTCTAATGGAAGTACTAATTTTCAAACATGTCTTCTTTGGAAGTTTCATTGAGTGCAATGGAGCACTGCAGACAGTGTTAATTTTCCTTCTAATTCCATGTTGCCTGACTGTAGATAGAAGGGCACCTCCGTTATTTCCAAATGTGCCTTTGCTCTGGGTCTGGAATGCCCCAACTGAATTGTGTGCGAGGGTATCTAATCAACCACTAAATATGAGCCTCTTCTCGATAGTAGGAACCCCCCGACAAAATATCACAGGGCAAAGTATTACACTGTTTTATGTTGATAGGCTTGGCTATTATCCTTACATATATCATCACACAGGTGCAATTAAATATGGAGGACTCCCCCAGGCTATGAATTTACAAACTCATTTGGACAAAGCTAAGCAAGACATCTTATTTTACATGCCCACAGACAAGGTGGGCTTGGCTGTCATCGACTGGGAAGAGTGGAGGCCCACCTGGGCAAGAAACTGGAAACCTAAGGATATTTACAAAAATAAGTCTATTGAGTTGGTTATGAAACAAAATCCACAATTTAATCTTACATACGCCAGTGCCTTAGCCAAAACAGAGTTTGAAAGGACAGGAAGAGATTTCATGCTAGAAACTTTAAAATTGGGAAAATCACTTCGGCCAAATTCCTTATGGGGTTATTACCTTTTTCCTGATTGCTACAACACTCATTATAGTAAACCCAATTACAATGGGCATTGCCCTGATATAGAAAAGAAAAGAAATGATGATCTCCACTGGTTGTGGAATGAAAGCACTGCCCTTTTTCCATCTATTTATTTGAACTCCCACTTAAAGTCATCTCCAAATGCTGCACTCTATGTCCGTAGTCGTTTACACGAGTCCATTAGGATTTCGAAAGCTCCTAATGCTAAAAATCCACTTCCAATTTTTGTATATATCCGCCTGGTTTTCACTGATGACACTACCACATTCCTTGCTGTGGTAAGTAAATCAAAGTAAGACAACTATGAAATAATGTCCATAAATAATGCTTAATGCAATTTAATATCATTTTGAAGGGAGTGAAATTTAGCTATTAATATCATTTAGGAAAATGCACACAAGTAGTTCTGTGTCATATGAAGTCAAAATAAGAATATTTTTAATCTCTAATGTTGCCATGTAATCTTTTAGCAACTACAAAGAATTAGGTAATATATATAATGCACTAGGTCCATTTCTTTTTTTCTTTCATTGCCTTGTCTTTTTTCTGAAGCAGTAATAAAAACAATAATAGTTTCAATATTTTTATAGTAAGGAAAGGGGCTATTTAAAAGATAGAAATAGTGGAGAAATATTTAAACTTTTATTGCTGGATCAAATGCTTATTAGCTTTGGTATTATTGTCCTATGTATAAGACTTTCATTTTATTCCTGTGTGCTAACTTTCTATCATATTTGCCAGGATGATCTTGTGAATACAATTGGCGAAACTGCTTCTCTAGGTGTCTCTGGAATGATAGTATGGGGAAGTCTTAGTTTAGCACGAAGTATGGTAAGTTCAACTGGTAGTTTTTGAGGATTTTTTTGTTGTTAAATAAGGAAATAAGTACTATGCTTGGTACATAGTACTAGGTGTTGAATGAATAATGGCTGAATCAAAATACCTTGCATTTGTTTGTTTGGGTTGTAAGGCAGAAAAGATTGTACTTATTTTCCACTAAGAAGTCTGAAATTCAGTGAGATTAACTGAAATTGTCTGAGCTACATGACTTATCAGTAGCAAAGACTATCTGCAATCTTCATTTTCTGAAATGATTTTTGAAGTCAAAGGATCAATCTCTCTTTATTTTCATTCTTATTTAACTCTCCATATCAAGTCTTGTCCTTCCTTCACTTCTTCAATCCTCTTGAATCAATGGAGGAGTAAAGTTATATAAAGACACTGCTTGATTGGAGCTCAACTTTATTTTCTGTGGTGGTTGTGGAAATATTAGTGACAAATATCTTATGGAAAATGTCACGGCCGAGGGGAGCTATCTTAGGACTTGTAAAGAATAATCTTTATTCTCTACTACTGGGAAAGACATTTTGAAAAAAGGTTATATGTGTCTTTTGTCCTTTAGAAAAAATAGCAAGATTCTTAATTTGAAAGTGCTTAAAACAGTCACATTTGTGAAATTCTTTCTAGGTACTCACATTCTCTTCTGCCAATTTTGTATAATCATATTGTCTCTGGCTCGATAGCCAGTAAAGAAAGAATTAACAGAAATAATAAGTTCAGAGAAAATTATATGATTTTTGGTAAGATTGTTTGTATTTAAAAATTATCTTAAATTTACAATTCTCATAAGTGTATTCCCAATTTTTATTGGTTGTTTTTCCAAAGTGAACCATGGATCACTTTTCAAGTTCTGATTCATTGAGAACTTGAAAAACTGGCTTTGCAGGTTTTTCTGCAGTTAGTGGAACAAGTATTAAGTGAGCCATTTCCTTCCACTCTTTTTATTAAATCTGGTAACGTGATAGAGCCAGTTCTGCTGAAACCAACTTGTGAGACTTGATTGTTAAATATTCAAGAATTTTATGAGCCAGTTGTCAAACATAGCTATTATTAAAAGTTTAATTATTGGGCTGGGGATTTAGCTCAGTGGTTCCACCACCTGCCTCGCAAGTGCAAGGACCCGAGTTCAATCGCTGGTACCAAAAAAAAAAAAGTTTAAATATCAAAACATACAACAAAATACATGATGTTAAAAACGAAGGTAATACATACTTAAAATATATCAATTACTTTATTTCACTTTGTTATATGTGTTTTGAGGTTATATCTATTGTTATCTTTATAAATAGAAACACTATGTAATGGTTGATATCTGACATCATATTACCATACTGTATATTGATGATGTACTTAATTCTCAATTCTTCATTCAGTAGTGTCATATTGATAACATCAAATTGGCCATAGCAGTAGTATTTAGATCATAATATATAATGCTACAAAGCAGGCTATATCAATGAGATAGACACTTTTAGATCCTTCCATATACTATATCTTATGTAGGCTAATGATTCTTAATCATTCTCATCATTTTAATCTTTCTTTTTTGGCTAATGCTGTAACTGGGGATTTGAGGAAGCAACTATAATGTCACCTGAACTTGGTAAAATTCTCGTCTTGGTACTGGGAATACAATATTGAAGAATACTGACAAAGACAATGAAGTCTTACAACTTATGAGTGCTCAGAAAAATATACAAATAAGGGAAATATTTGATGTGATAATTACTATACAAAGAATTAATGTAGATGTGAATTGATAAGAAAATATTGTGTCTGAGAGGGCACTGTCTAGTTAAAGCACCATCCTAATGACAAGATGGAGTGAACCATGTTAAAAATTGGAGGAAAGAACATTCCCAGCCAAGGGTAGAGTACTGTGGTTTAAAATGAACCTGCTGTACTAGTGAAATAACTACTATGTTCAAGCAGAGAGGGCTGTCCAAGAGGTAGGAAGGATTATACAGTATAAGATTGGTATATGTAAGTCAAGAGAAGTTGAATTTTATTCCAAATTCAATGCAAAAGCACTGAAGGTTAAGAAGACAGATTGTATTTTAGTTTTCTATTGCTTCCATAAAAGCAACAACAAACCCAGTGACTTAAGCAATATATGTAAATATTTTTATATAAATATGTTATTTATATATATTTATATAATTCTCTAGGTGAAGAGTCCAACATGCATGTCACTGAGCTAAATTTAAGGTTGTCAGTAGCGTGCAGTTCTTCCTAAGAGAGGTTCTTCACTTGCTAATTTGAGTTTTTGGCAGATTAGTTCCTTGTGTTTGCAGCAATGAGCTCTCAATTATCTCACTGGTTGTTGGTCAAAGGCCACTTCTATCTTCTGGAGGATCCTACATTCTTTAGCTTCTGGCCCTTTTCTTCTGTCTTCAAAATCAACAGCTGTGGCTAAAGTTCCTTTTACACTTTGAATCTCTCCTTCCTCTTCATCTCATCTTTCTAACCCAACTGGAAAAGTTTCTGGACTTTGAAGGATGCATGTAATTAGAATAAGGCCTCCCAGATCATTCATGATAATCTTCCCTTCTCATGTAGATGTCCTCAATCATATTTACAAACTTCCTTTTGCCATGCAAGCTAATAGAATCATAGCTACCAGTAGGCAAAGGTATAGACATCTTCGGGAGGCCAGTATTATGGCATCACCTCAGGGAAGGTAAAAAGAAATAGATTACAAGGAGAGCTGCTAAGATTCCTTGACTTGCCTGCCACACCTTCCTTGGGCCTGCAGAGAGACTAGCACATCCCGACAACTCAGTTGAACTGTTTGTTGGTCACAAAAGAATACAACTGCCCTCAATGTTTTTAAAGGCAGTGTCCATGTTTCAGAACATACTAATCTCAGAGTGAATCATTTCAATTATTCATTTAGCATACTTAGCCAAATTTGTAAATAAGCTTTCATTATTCACATATAATTTGATTATATTTAACATTTATTATATACTCAGTTAAACCCTTGAATGTTAAGCCATCAACTTAGAATTCTTTTCAATCTTATTTAAGCTTGTCTGACATATGTAATTCTTATTATGTTTATTTAAAATTTATTGAGTGTTTACAGAAGTTATGCTAGGCTCTGTATTAAAAACATTTTTATATACATTGTATCTTTTCTTCTTTTCTGTCTATGAGGTAGGTTCCAAAATTATCCTTATTGTACAAGTGATGACATGGAACCATAACCAAGTTAATTGATTTACTAAGGTCACTCAGGAAACATATTTAGAAGGCTTGAGCGGTCCTCAAATTCACAGAGCTCATCATTAATGAAACCAGGAAATCAATCAGGGCAAATAGACCCTAGAAGTCATATTCTAATAGCTGAAACATTCTATTCCCTTGATTAATTTATAAATAATTGAGGAAGATCAGGCTAGGACATGTTAAGTATCAACTTATATATTATCCGGTGGCATTAAATGAGATGTGAAATAATGTTAGAAAAAAACAGAATAATTTTGCTTATTAATGTAAAAAAGATGAAATATTTCATATCTTTTGGCATGTCTGTTTTGTTCATCCTTAAAAAATTGCTTATTTCAGTAAGTTATGTAACACATTTATGACTTGATAAATGTTCAGAATGAACATATTATAATTTTACAGCAATCTTGCCTGGAACTAGAAAATTACTTAAAGACTACACTGGATCCTTACATAATCAATGTCACTCTAGCAGCCAAAATGTGCAGCCAAGTGCTTTGCCAGGACCAAGGAATTTGCACAAGGAAAGACTGGGATTCAAGTACCTATCTTCACCTAAACCCAACAAGTTTTGATATCAAACTTGGGCAAAATGAGAAGTTTATAATACATGGAAAACCCACGCTTGAAGACTTGCAGGAATTTTCCAAAAATTTTCATTGTAGCTGTTATGCCAACTTGAATTGTAAGGATAGACTTGATATACAAAATGTCCGTGCTATTAATGTGTGTACTGTTGATAGTGTCTGTATAGATACCTCTTTGGACTTTCCATCCAGTGATGATGAGGAGCCTCCCAGCACAGAAGAGACAACAACTGAAGATGAATACAGTTTCTGGTACATCACATCATCAGCTACACTGTTTCCACATGCTCTTCCAAAACATTTCAGTTGGTGCCTCTTAATTGTCTCCATATTTTTACAGCACTGAAAATATTTACTATAGGCTCATGGCAACTCAAAAATACAAAGTTGAATATCATGTTAGAAAAAATTCTATTAATAATCAAGATTCTTTGAATTTTTAAAGCAAAATATACATTTTTCTATCAAAGATTAATTATGAGGTCTATAATACTTGGAAGATTACTTTTCTTTTGAGAAGAGTAAAGATTTGAATAAAGCCAAGTTACTGCAAATGAATGTCTGTATTGGTAGTTTGTGTTTAAAAATTAACATGTTAAGGTGCAAACTTTTGTTTTTTAAAATACAATATCCCTTGGGCCAGGGTTTTAGCTCAGTGGTTCGCTGCCTGCCTCGCAAGCGTGAGGACCGGAGTTCGATCCCTGGTACCAAAAAATTAAAATTAAAAAAAAAAAAATCCCAAGTATATCAATCTGTGTCACAGAACTGTAGTTTTTAGATATTTCATCTTGGAAACATGTTCTATGAAAAAGGAACCTTAAAAAATGATTACTCTTATTTTTGTACATGATTTAATATATTTTCAAAACTCACATTTATAAAGTACTCTAATTTTCTTTTTACTCTTGATTGTCAAGTTTAATATTATGTACCTAAAGTGCTTAATTTTACATAAAAATACATTCACTTGACCATTCACATCCTTCACATGCAGTAATGGCAAAACTTTTAGAGATTGAATGCCCAAACTGCAACCCAAAACCCACATATTTATCACAAAGTGCCAACACTACAATTAAACCTGAGTATCTGATGTTTGGCTGCTTGAAGTGACCTGGCTCATGTGCCCACAGAGGGCTCTGCATGCCCACTGTGGCATGCCATAGGTTCACCACCATTTATATAGGATGTTGAGTGCTTATTCTTTGTCATCATTGGTACTTAGTGTCACAGATTCAAGATGAAGTGGCATGCTTCTTGCCGCTAGTGAATTTGTTGTATGGAGACAGAAATTAAATGTGGAAAATTGCAATATAGTGTGTTGTAATGCTATGATAACTTTAGAATGTTCTGACATTCAAAAAAAAGTTGGGGGTGTCAGAGCTTCCAGAAATAGATGACATGTGAGTTGCCTGAAAGATTTTAGATACTATGAGATGGAAGGAATTTCCAAAAGATGGACCATTGAATGTGGTATTTAGAGTGATGTAGAGTGGGGATTGTGCAATTATGATGCTTTCTAATCTTGGACCTGCCCTGTTTTTCTGTTCCTAAACATTACATATGTATATATGACATAAATATATATTACACAGACATACATTATATACATATATACAGAGCAAAAAGAGAGAGAGAGGAGATAGAGAGAGAGAGAATAAAAGAGGCAGAGAGACAGAGAGAGAGAACCTAAAAATGTATACAGCAGTTTGTCATACTAATAAATGTCTGGAAGCTAACAGCCACAACTTTGAGCATTTTGTAATTATAGAGGCCAAAAGTAACTTGTATTAATCTCATGATGTCTCAATAAATTTAGTGTTAAAATATTTGTACAAGTTTTTCTTTTCCTTATGTATACACTTTTTTTGTCAGACTCATCATGTGTAAATATCAGGAGGATAGGTATTTGGCCTGTTTTTCTAATACACTGTGTTGAATAGTATCTCGACTTAGCAGGTGCCAAATAAGTATTTATTGAACAAATAAAAACTAATAAGAACTCAGAAAAAGGTTTTAAACATGAGAATAGTCATGGCCACTTTACACTACTTGAGAACTCTGGGATAAATGCTGTCTTTTCTCTCTGCTGTGCTTTTCATTCTCCACTCCAATTATAATTTGGCTATCAAACTTATGTTTTAATAAATCAATTTTAAAAGGACCTGAAGAAGAACTAGACATAGACTAGTTTACTTAGAATACATTATTGATGATCAGAGTAAGCAGTTGTCTGGATTTCCAAAGAATGAAGGCAGCAAGGCAAATTCAAAAGGGAATAGATTTCAAATTGAACAATTTTAAGAGAAAATTCCAGTTCCCAACATTTATTAGCTATATAGGGCTGTGAAAGTTAACTTGGCTTAGATTTCATTTTAATAAAATCCCAATAAGACCTACTTTTTAGATTCGTGAAAGATTGAATTTAATATAATACTATATATATCAAAAATCCTTGGTCTAAGAAATGACTTCAATCTCTGTGGAGAAAAGGGGTTGGATACATTTTATTATGAATCTGAAGATGCTTGGATTGCTGCCATTGAGTGAAATTGTCAAAATAGCATGTTTCTGTAATGGTAGTTTTGGTTGTGGTCCTAGTATCAAAATAGAGCACCAAATGGAAATACAGACTTGGCAGGAATATTTTATATAAAATATAAATTTGTTTATGATTAGGTTTGATGAATCAAAATATATTTCCACTTGAATCAATTATTTTTACCAGGTAGTAGGCTAGTATCTGAATTACAGAGAATTACATAGGGTTCCAGCTCTTCAAGAATTTGCATACTGATGGGATTTATAGTACCTTATAAATGAAAACTGTTCATATAATGTGGTGTAAACATACAGTGTAAAAACTGTAGAGCTCTAAGAATGCAAGCCTACTCAGTTAATTAATAGAGTACTAACGGAACAGTAATTGGCTTCAAAATTATTTAGTTGAATACAGACTATATATCTAAATGACCATATATCTTACAAAACCTATGTCCTCAACAGACTTATTAGAGAAGATACCTGTTTTTATTGCACAATTGTTTTTTGAAGACAAATTGAATAGAGAATAATGCTAACCATCGTGCATGTGTAGATATATTTAATTTTGTTAGATGAAAGATTACCAAAAAATGATTAAATGATATTTATTAAGTAGTAATAAAGATACAACAGGTGAGTTTTAAAAAATGCCTCAGGCACTTCAAGAAACTTCCAGGAAGATGGCAATGTGGTAAACAGCCTCTCCTAGATTTAGTGTCCAGAAAGTGGAATATAGATGCGAAGACGAGAAGGAGGGAAATGGGTCCCTGGGACCTATCTAGGATCTGAAGAAGGAGTTGAAAGCCATGGGAGAGAGTGAAGAGACTTCAATAGAGAAGGAGAAGGTGGCAAGTGGTGCTCTCTCCCTGAGCCTCAACTCAGTGCATGAGAAGGGTGACTAAAATCTGCAGACTCATGAAGATTCCTGGTGACCCAAGAGGATCCTACAGAGAATCACACCAGTAGAACAGATCAGTGGATGCAGTGGATTTCAGTGGGTGGCTGTATTTGATGCTATTGTCATTGATGATTATACTACTTTAGCAACGGTGACATAGTTGTTCTACTTGTTTGTTCTTCCTGGTATGCCAAGACTGAGACTACCTAAGGGTCATAAACAAAACTATGAGCCAATGTCAAAGAACCAGGGTCTAGGCCAAATAGGCAGCAACCTCTCACCCAGAATAAATAGAAGAGATTAGGACCTTGCAACAGACTCAAAACCCAAAAGCCAGCTAAATCTGGAAGATGTCTTTGAGAAATAGTCATTTTCTAATGGTTCTTAAGACTAGCAATAAAGTTACTTGCCATAAGAAATTTATAAGCATCAACCCAGAAATTAACAATAATAAATAGAAATAATAATAAATAGAAAATGAGCAGACACTTAAGCAAGATGCAACCCCAAACTTGCAACTCACCAAGGGACACTGAGGTGGAACAAATCGAAACCCACCCACTTGGAGACTCTCTGGTGGTAACAGTGGAAGTAAGAAATCAGATGAATGAAGCTCTAGAAAAAAATCAAAGCAGAAATAGTTTGTCAGATAACTACAGAGATGGTGACCATAATGAAAAACATGGTTAGTGACTCTAGAGCAGATACAGAAAAAAATAAAGCAGCTTAAGAAAATGATGAAAACCATGAATACCCAACACAGGAAAGAAAACAGATTCAAACAGATTTCCAGGAGATTAAAAATTCCATTGAAAGTATATATAGCAGAATGAGCCAATATGAGGATAGAATATCAGATATGGAAGACAGGATTGTGGTTAGTGACCATGGAAAGAAAGATTTCTTGAATATAGCAAAAGACTATGCAAAATCAATCCAACAGCTCATAGATGATGCAAAGAAGAATACCATAAGATTGATTAGAGTCAGTGAAAAAGCAGGAGATGGCACAAATGACATAAAAAAACAGTTCACAGAAATAATGGCAGAATCCTTACCAAGAATGGAAAAAGATGCTTGTGCAGATAAGTGAGGCATATAGAATTCCAATTACCCATAAGAAAAAAATACATCAAGACATAATAATCAAGGTTCCAGAAATTCAATACAACAGAATATTAAAAGTTGTAAGAGAAAAGAAACAAATCACCTATAAAGGAAAGGCCATCAGAATCACAACAGCCTTCTTAACATAAACCTTCAAGTCAAGGAAAGTATAGTGTAAAGTATTTCAAGTTCTAAAATAAAAAAATCACCAACCCAGATTGATGTACCCTGCAAGTCTCTTTCAAAATCGATGGAGAGTGCTTGCTTTGGCAGCACATATACAAAATCGATGGAGAAATAAGACACTTCATGACAAAAAGCACCTGAAAAAATTCCTGACCACCAAATTAGCACTCCAAAATGTTCTCGAAGACATTCTAGAAAAAGATAATGAACTCCATGAACCCAAACAGAATGAATCCACCAGGCAAAGTAAGCAATTAAACAGAGGAGAAAAAAGGGAACCAAGAACAGGAAAATAACATGACAAGGATAGGTAAGTACATATCAGTTATAACCATCAGTGTAAATGGTCTCAATTCACCAATCAAAAGAAATAGACTGGCAGAAAGGATCAAGAAGCAAGATTCAACAGTATGCATACAAGAAACACATTTGATTCAAAAAGAAATTCACAACCTGAAAGTCAGAGGATAGAAAATAACACTCCATGTGACAGAAAACCAGGAAAAAGCAGAGGTAGCTATTCTACTTGCAGACAAAATGGATTTCAAGCCAAGACTGATTAAGAGAGACAAATAAGGTCACTACATCCTTGTAAAGGGAACAATTCAAGGGGAAAAGATAACAATCATAAACATGTATGCACCAAATACCAGTGTATTTAACTACATAAAATAAATGTTAATGGACATGAGAAATCAAATAAGCACTAATACAATTATAATGGGGGACC